CCTATATCGTCGCTGGAGTAATGAAGTAGTGTAACATGAAAAGTATAGTTTTGAGAAAAACGAATTAAAAGTTTTTACAATCCAATCGACCAAATCTAAACTTTAATTGTGCTCTTATTCAAAATATTCATATTTTAAACACACCACACTTTTTACTAATTCCTTAGCTGTTAATTCACAAAAAAATCCGGTCGAATTTTAATTACAAATATCATTTGAGCCAATTTTTTTGAAAGCATCTGCTTATACACTATTTTATCTTTGAACATTTTTATATCAAATCATTGTACACTATTTAATATTGGTTGCAAACTCAGAAAAATTAATTGATGTACATACATATGTTGATATTGCACTATTCTATTATCCACATTTTGAAGCTGCCTGTGAAAGTTAGCAGCAATATAATGAAGTAAAATACTCTAACGTTATTTTAATATTACAAGAATTTCTTTGAGATTTTCTTAATAATAGTGCAAGTGCACCATGCACTATTTGTAAACAATTGTAGTACCTACACTGTTATTATAAAATTTCGTTTTTCGCGAATAAGTTCGTGATCCAAAAAGATATTTAAGAAAACTAAAGATTTTTTAATAGATAAAGGATTGCCCATCCATTGGCACTATTATCGAATAGTAGTGTATGTGAAATTTACACTGTTTCTTTATTTCAGCGACGATATGTACGGTTACCATTCGTACCGATTTTGGCGGGACAGCACCGATTTTGAGAAAATTGTCCCGCCAATTTTTTTTTTTAAAGTTATGACGTATCCCGAATTTTCATATTTGTACTGATTATGTCCCGATTTATTAATTTAAAAAGAGTCTTCCTGTACTGTGACCCAAAAACAGTTTTTCTTACAAACGTGGCAGCACATTCGTTATCACAAAGAAGCCATAAACATACATCATCTTTGGTTATGTTTTATTCTGCTTTTGTTAAATTTTTTTTTTTTAAGAAACGATTCTAACTTGAGTTTAGTCAAATACTTATTCCCTCAAAAATGCATGGATATGCAAAATATAAGCTGTAGATACGGTGGCAACGATATAAACAGGGAAGAGAAATTTTAACATTCTTTGGCTATTACCTTTCGATTATGTAATGTTTATTATTTTTTATGAAAGTGTAGGCCGTTATTTAACAAAGACCATGCAGTCAAAATTTCAAACGTTGTACAAAAATTATCACAGTTCGACAAAGCTTCATTAAAACTTTGAGCTTTTAGTTTCGATTTCTTAGAAACATTCCGGGTATGCAATTTTATAGCCCATTCAATATAAACTGCAAATTTTAAGTAGCTTGGACTTACCGTTGATTTTTGGTAAATTTTTTTTGTGGAAGGTATTGCTCATTCTCTCCATACAAAAAAATTGGCAAACATCCTTTGTATGGAAGAATACGCGCGAACAAAAACGTTGCCAAAATTCAACGGACTTGCTACTTCAAACTTGCACTTTGGCGTATGGATCCACACATAGGGTTGCCAGACGTACTGCTTTTGGGAGTAAACGTACTCCTTTTTATTGCAATGTACTCCCAAAAAAATATCTGGAAATGTACTCCTTTATTAGTTTTGTACTTCTTTTGTTCTCCTTTTTCCAGCTATTAATATTTTATCATATACAGGGTGTAAAATAATAACTGTTGTACAGTTTTTCTTGAAAAATAAAATTGGTCTTTATAGATTTTGCGAAAAAATTAGTCCATTGTTAACTATCCACAGATTTTACTTCAAATTTATTAATTTGTTTTTAAATTTTAACCTTCATTTGGGTTTACCGGTGATAAACATTTGGAGAGCAATGCGCAAGTAAAAAAAGTCGTTATTGTATAGGTCTTAAATTTAACCCTCATTTGGGTTTACCAGGGTGTTTGGAAGAAAAGCGCAAGCGGCACGCAAGTCTTCGTCGGTTACTTTATTACATATCTTCTGTAACCATAGGCTAATTTCCTCCCACTGGAAGGGAACTCATTCCACCAACCCTATACAGTTTTTTTTTCTTTATACAAAATCTAAGAAAAAATACACCTGAAAAAGAGGTGTGTGCCGCATGTACTTATCTCCCAAAACTGTGTTTAACAAAATCTATAAAGAACCCTTTTATTTTTCAAAAAACCTGTGGGACAGTTATTATTTTAGGCCCTGTACTTTGCCATTCATATTGTGGCAAACACTACTTAGGGCCGGTTGTTCAATGTCTGGTTATCACTACTTGCCTGTTAAACATCATTATCGACGATTTCGACATCATGCATATAACATGTGATCGATAAAGCAGTCGTTGTATCTAACCGGTGCTTCTACCTCCGATTTGTGTTAATCAGACATTGAACAACCGGCCCTTGGTAAGCAAAGTTAAGTGTTACTATGTTTATACGTAAGCTATTTGCAAATAAAAATAATTTGCAAATACTTAACTCACTGTTTATTCGATGGTGAAAAATTCTTTTTTAATATTGGCTTATTATAAAAAGGCAATAATGTGACCATCGAAAAAGAAAATAAAGTTAAAAATGGCAACGTCTTGATTATAAAAAGGCATTAAGATGACCATCGAAAAAGAAAATAAACCTAAGAATGGCGGCGTCTTGCGCTTATTTGCAGATAAATAGTACCACTAATCAATACTTATTTGCGTGATTTAGTTATTTGCAAATAAAAAAATAACTCAGCGTTTATACGGCAAAGTTCACTATTTTGCAAATTGTTATTTGCAAATAATACGTGCGTATAAACGTAGTATGTGATAGTGATAAAGTGTAAGCATGGCCGTAGCATGGTAGGTGCAGGGCGGTCGGATATAAAAATCAGAAAAGTATTACGCTAGCTTAGAGTGAAAAGTTGCTAAGTCCACTTTATATGAAAACTCATATTTTGATATAGGAGGCTAGAGAAATTTAATACGCATCGTTTCGAAAATTATAAAGGTACTTGTTTTATTTTTTCCTCTTCATAAGCAATAAAAGGAAAATTTGCTAAGTCCAAAAGAAGCACCACAAATCCGATAAGGCGAAAATAATACGACATCTTTTAATAAATATCGAATCCTTCTGATTCTTATGGAGTTTTGCTGTGCTTTAAACGCGCAAAATGTTTGATTCAAAGTNTAGGAGGCTAGAGAAATTGAATACGCGTTGTTTCGAAAATTATAAAGGTACTTGTTTTATTTTTTCCTCTTCATAAGCAATAAAAGGAAAATTTGCTAAGTCCAAAAGAAGCACCACAAATCCGATAAGGCGAAAATAATACGACATCTTTTAATAAATATCGAATCCTTCTGATTCTTATGGAGTTTTGCTGTGCTTTAAACGCGCAAAATGTTTGATTCAAAGTCTTGCGAAATAGTTAAAGAAAATGGCTATAGGAAGATTTTTTCCTCTCCTGTAAAATTTTTTAAATGGGACTTAGCAACTTTTCTTTCTAAGCTAGCGATTATATTATTTATAAGGTTTAATTTCAAAAAAATGGCCATACATTCAGGAAGAGTCTGGAATTCTTTCCTATAAGGGCGGTCATTGAAGAGGCGGTGAGCGAAGGGGGAGTGGGCGTGGCACCTCCACCTCCCACCTAGGCGCCCTATGGGTCCCAGGGACCCCTTTGAAAAATCGCCAAAAATCACAATTTTCACTTGCGTCCACAGTATTTTTGCGTAGAATTCGATATAAAGTTAGCAAAACACCTTATATCTAAAAAAATACCAGAGCGACAAAATTATTTTTTGCACAACTAATTAACGGCAAAAAACGGCAAATTCATGGGTATATGCCACATTTTTTGCTTGATGTTGTTTCGCTAACTTTATACACTTCGTAGAGATTGTGGTGCTGTCGTAAAACAGCGTGACAAAAACAACTATTAAGAAAAATAGTAATAATTACAAAAATTTCACCAAGTATTATATGATCCAAAGTCCATCTATGCCCGATATACATATAAGATAGATATACTTGATTAAAAATTGTCAGAAGTATTAGTTTTATAAATTATTAAAAAAGACTGTACTTGTTTTCTCATAATAATTAATGATATTTGTTTTTTAAAAAATAAGAATGAAGTGCCTTAAATAGTAAAAGTTATTTTGGGGGAATACCATGGAAGATAGGGGAATTTTTTAAGAAATTTGAGAGAATTAGAGAGAGAGTAGAGTTGGCATCCTTGGCACGTACTTAGACTTTCCTACATGTTTTTTGTTACGGGATAGGCGATGTTTCCGCTCTCCTCGACCAGATCCCACAACATCTTAGTCATAGATTGCCCTTAAAATTTTAAAAATTAAAATATTGAATTCAGTTTCTGCCAAGGTGGGAGCTTTATGGAACCTTAGAATTGAAAACTTCAAACGAGTCTTTTCAAAAATTGGGTATTGTGACAGTATTTTTTCCCCCTATAAATAAGCAATAGGAAATGTAAATTCTTGTTCATATTCAATATTTATTTATTGGATTCTTTTATATTTCTAATTAAACATATTTAAATTAATTGAAATATGTACTATGTACTTTTTATTAAATTGTTGTAAATTAAGTTGTACTAATATTTATGAATAAACACTTACATATATGTGTGTATGGAGATATATACGTTTTTAACCTAAATAACAAAATTATTGAAAATTTGTATTGTAAATATTTCGGTAAGTACTTGTTTAAGTACTTACTCATAATTGTACATCAACTCTTTTTTATGGACGATTGAATTACCGTTAAAAAATTAGTTAATATGTATTTATTTATGTATGTACACTTTTTATGAGTCAATGGTAAGAGTATTATATTTAATATTTTTTTTTTGTGTAAAGACAGACGTTTAATTGAAGTCCACAAAAGTTTTGATCGGTAACCGTGGCTGTTTGAACTTTTGTTTATAGATTATGGAGCGATAGCAACTCATCTTGATCATGTGAATCCAGCTTATTTAAAGCATACAAATTTGAAAACCAACCAAAAGGACACAGTTTTTAAAATACATTAATTTATGTATAATAAGGGCGTGTTATACATATTAAAAGAAACATTTTCAAAGAACGTATTTTGCAATAAAGGACAAAACAAATTTTTTTAAAGACAAGTAAATGAACCTTAAAAAAGTACTGTCCATCTAAAGTACGAATGCTCTCCATGACTATGGCAAATGGAAAATCGTTTCAGCAGAGCATAGAAAGTAACCTTAGATACGCTACTTAAGCACTACTTTAAAACGGTTCAAATCTGATTCCCAGAGACTGGTGCGATTAAACTAGGTATAAATCTCCGAATTATTTATTTACTTATTTCTACTATGCAAACTAAAAATTTAGAACCAGTTGTTTCTAGGAGGGAGATTACAAACTAACTAAATATTCATAAACAATTTATTTTAATTCTATTATATATTTTCATAATCATACACATAAAATGTTTATGTAAAATTTATGTATGTAATAAATTTTCACCTCCTCCGGATTTAAGTTTCCAGCTCAGTTCAATGTGCTAATAAATATTTCCTTACGGTTGCACAACCGCCACTTGCCTGTATAGCTTTGCCAAATTCGTCTGCGCCCGGTCAATATGGGCGCCATACATTACCCATGTCTCCCACATCTTCTGCACGCGCTCCACTGTGTTGTTCACCAGGCACATTCGCGTCTCCTTGTGCCACCTCCAAATGCCCCTGTTGTGTTTGCTGTTGTACTTGCGATTGCTGCTGCTGCTGTTGTTGCGGGTGCTGGTGCTGCAGTGAATGTTCGCCAGGTGTGGCCGTAGCGGCAGCACTGTTAACGCCAGCTGCTGTGGCACTACCTCCACCTCCACCACTATTATTCGCATTTCCCATTTGACCATCGTGCAATGCCTGTGAGGATCCTTGCGCTCCCATCGTTTCGTGATCTGAGGTGCCGATCCCTATCTCAATGCTCGGCCGACAGCCAGCCAGCGAGCTGATGGTTAGCGAATTTTCATGGACATGCACATGAATTTGGTTTTGGTTAACTGTGGAATAGAGTTGTGGATAAAGTACCATTGTGTGTGGCGTCTGCCCCGGGTACGCGGCTCCTTGTGCTGCACAACTACTATAGTTGTAGTTGCTGTAACCGTTGGCGAAACTATTGTACGATGAGTAGGTGGGATTGAGTGACTCCATTTCCGATTTGCAGCCACCGTAATGCGTGGGGCTACAAATGGGCGCCTGAGCATGGGGTACAAAAGAGCTGGCGGACGCTGTCATGCCGCTGTGCGAATAATCGCTGGTAGGGCATAGCGCTGACATGTCGGTGAGCATGCTGGGTACATGTAGGTTGGGATGTTCCACAGCCAGTGGAGGAGGCACACTAGTGTCATAGCCATAGTGGGATAGATTCGTGGTGGCGGCAGCGGGCTGTGTTGGATGTGGGTACTGGTATGAATTGGGATGCGTACGATAGCCGCTGTAGGCGCCTGGGCTGGTCGATGCATAGCCAGTGGTCCAGTCTGTGGCTCCCATCAGTTGATTAGATTCTGCAAGAGAAAACAAATTACAAGTATTACTGAGGTTTTGAATTAAAATGCGCTTTTAAGAATACATTAATTTATATCATATTAAGTAGCTGAAACTCTTCAGTATGAAGTAAATTTGCACGAATGAATTTTGTTAATGACTTTTATTGTGACCGTGATATTTGAATTATGTTGTTTTGGGTTATTCAGGAAAAAAAGTTATATACATACATACATACATATGTACATTAGATGCCTTATTTTGCAGACGTATTCTACGTAAAAAATTTTAAACGCCCTCACAAAAACAGCGAATGCATAAAACCAATATAAAATTATTTACCGCCGCTTAAATAAACACCTTGTAAAAATATAGATATGTATGTATATCAGATGCTTTATTTTTTCCATACATTTTGCTAAAGTATTGCAGACTCTCCCTCCGGCAGCAGAATATGAAAATAGGATGCTACGATCCTAAGAAAATTAAAAAAATATTAATTATTGCGAAAACTGGATGGGCTACTCCGAAATGCGTGATTTATAAGACTGTTTCGCTGTAGGTTTAGGTTCTTATATGAAAAAACATTCATCTTGCGTAAAAAAATCCACCTCATTAAGAATAAGCCGCTAAAGCGAATGGCGTACTTAGTTTTTTAATACAACCAACCAGTCTTATAAATCACGGATTTCGGAGTAGCTCATCCAGTTTTTGCAATAGTGATATTTTTTTTTAATTTTGTTAAGTTCTTAGCGTCGTATTTTCATATATATCATATACTAGCAATTACCCGGCGTGCTTCGCTGCGCCTTAAATGTATTTTTGTGTTGTAACTCTCCCCCTAAGCTCTTATGGCCTCATTTACAAAATATTTTTAAAGAACTTTATGAAGTTAGATTTAAAAAAATCGATCNAAGACTGTTTTGCTGTAGGTTTAGGTTCTTATATGAAAAAGCATTCATCTTGCACAAAAAAACTCACCTCATGAAGAATAAGCCGCTAAAGCGAATGGCGTACTTAGTTTTTTAATACAACCAACCAGTCTTATAAATCACGTATTTCGGAGTAGCTCATCCAGTTATTGCAATAGTGAATATTTTTTTTTAATTTTGTTAAGTTCTTAGCGTCCTATTTTCATATTCTGCTGCCGGAGGGAGGATCGGAAATTCTTTGGCAAAATGTATGGAGAAAATAAGGCATCTGATATACATATGTATATTTTTATAAGATTTTTATTTAAACGGCAGTAAATAATTGTATACTGGTTTTAAGCATTCACTGTTGTGAGGGCGTTAAGAGTTGTTGACGTAAAATACGTCTTACGTTTCGATATGGAGGCTCGGTTTCTGTCGTATAAAAAACGGTAAATATTGGCTTAATTTGGCGTAAATTTTGAGGCTTTAAAGTGCTCTAGCAACTTATGATTTGCAGATATAACATTCATTTTCGGGATATAGGTTCTTTGGAGCAATAGAAATATCCTGCACATATTTTGTATAAATTTAAAAAAAAATATTTGAAAAAATTATCAAACTTTTTTTATTACCAAAAGGCTCGAAAACCGCTCGAATGATTTTGGTTTTGTTTTCTTTAATAAAAAATTCTAGAGTTTTCGTTTCGTTTGGTATATGGGAGGTATTGGTTGATACCTTCTAAATATGTTTTTTTTATTCATATATGGGCATAAATGATTTTCCATACAAAATAACTTTGTCATCGTTTTAAAAAGCAATTGCGTGCGCTGGAAGTGAGAGAAGGAGACAAAAAGTATGTGTATGTTGGTACATATTTCGATTTTTGAGCTACAGATGGCGCAATATGTATAACCTAATCGCAGCGTATGTATGCAAATACATACATACCCACGTACATACCCTGCAAAAAATTGTGCGACTAGTATCTAAAGAGAGTATTCAGAGATTACTCTCCATCGGTTACAATTGGGTATTAATTATTCCCAACTAGTCTCCTCCCTGCAAAAAATGGGACTAATCCGGGATGACTCCGGGAGCAATCGCAAAGGAGCATGCGACTAATACCACTTTTGATCTCTTTATATGGAATGAACTGTTCGCTTTTGTTCGAGCATGTCCTATGAAGAGACTGATTGTTCACCTTTATACCCGAACGGGTATAAAAAGCGACTAGTCACTTTTAAAAAATAAAAATAAAAATTTGGGCCAGCTGATATTCGAACCGGGGTGCTCAGTTTTGTTAGTCGAATACTCTCTCTGCGAGCCAACGCCGCACATGAAGTTTCATTGACTAAGTGCGTACATATCATCAAATCGTTAATAGTATCCGTTAGAGATGAGTTGGGGACTAATAGATCTCCAATTATACCCATAAGGTATGAGTTGAGCCTAATTGACCTCCATTCGCTAGTCGCTTTTTATATCGTTCGGGTATAAAGGTGAACAATTAGTCTCCTCATAGGACATGCTCGAACAAAAGCGATCAGTTCATTCCATATAAAGAGATCAAAAGTGGTATTAGTCGCATGCTCCATTGCGATTGCTGGGAATGTATGTTGGTTGCAGTTAATGGGGATCTTTTTTTCTTTTAGTTACGTTTGTATGTACATAAATATGAATATTTACATATTTAATACGCGAAAATTTTTCGTCCCATCTGATCTGTACCGTTCGTTCCATTTTACAAAATGAGGTATCAAATTAAAGGTGTTGGCCTGTGGATGTGCAATAACTTCATATTGTTTCAAAAAGAGTGACCACCTGATAAACAAATTTAATTCAAATTATTTTTAAGTTAAATCAATTACTTCACTATGAGTATCATTCGAAATGGGTTTGAAAAGGCTTTATTTCTCAATTATATGTAGGAGAAAAATTGGGATGTATATCTTGTTATGGATGTCAGACGAAAGAGGATGTGGTAAGAAAATATTTTGCGGTTGCCACCTTGTTACAAGTTAGTTTCAATATAAGCAATAGATTAAATAAATTACTCAGTATGAATATAAACAAAATTGCTTTAAAGAAACTTTATTTACACACTGCATGTAGGAGGGTTGCCACCTGATTTTATAATTAAATTCAATTTCAATTAAGAGTATTAATAATTTAAATATGTACCACAATAAAGTGTCAGACGAAACCGGTTTAACGAGGTTTTGGTGTAAAAATATCTTGATCAGGATCGCCATCTGTTTGAAAAGTCGAGTTAAATTAAATTATATGATATATAGGCGTCAAACAAAGTAGTGCAAAACTTTTGCACTTGCTTATGGAGCTCTGCCCGCGCTGTCCATCACTGATTTATAACATTGAAGAGGGTTTCCACTTGTGTAAAAAGTTATAATCAAATTATTTAATAAGTCAAATAAATTATTAAACTATGGGTGGCATGGGTTAAATATGCTTTTTTCTGAACTATATTTAAGAGGGTTGCCATATGTTTTAGAAACTAAATTTAACTTGAATAAAAGGAATTAAATACACAATTTAAATATGTATTGCAATACGTGTGTCAGGCAAAAAAGGTTTAATAAGGTTTTGGTTTTTATAAATATTTAAAATAAGGCTACCACCCGTTTTAAATTAGAATTTATTTAAAGTATGCATAAGCTAGATAAAATATTAAAATATGACATGAAAAGCTGGTGGTAAGATACCGTTATTTTGAATATTTAGAACTCAAATTATTTAATAAATTAAAGCAATTATTAGAAATATGGGTATCAAATGAAATGGGTTCAAAAAGGCTTAATGCAATTCAGAACTGTATTTAGGAGCGTTGTCTCGTATTTTTAAAAATCAAATTTAACTAAATTATATTAATATCAGACGCAAGAGATTTGTTTATTTTCTAACTATATTTAAGAGGTTTGCCAGTTCTTTCAGAAGTCTTAGCTAACTTATGCACAAATCCGAAGACGAAGATAATGAGAAGACGAGCACGAACACGAATAAGAATACTAATCCGGGGACCTAGGCTAATATAAAAAGTAATACATATATCTGCAGTATGAAAGGAAAAAAAAATTAATAGTGATACACGTCATGGCATATGTATGTTTATTTATAAGCTGATGGTACATATGATTGAAGTTAATTTGGATTTGTTACTATATTCCTAATTATTAATATTCTGCATTGCATGTTGATTTATTAAATTCAATTCAATACAATCAAAACGAATATTTCATGTAGCGTTTTCAACTTGAATGCAGCAAATTTTAATAGGGGCGTCTTAGGTTTTTTTAGACCTGGCATATCCAACATAGACCAGGTATTCTCAATACGCCAAATCTCGGAAAAGACCCTCGAGAAAAGGAACGACACTCACCATCTATTTGTCGACTTTAAAGCCGCTTTCGACAGCACTAAAAGGAGTTGTCTATACGCCGCTATGTCTAAATTTAGCATCCCCTCAAAATTCATACGGCTGTGTAAAATGACGTTGGGCAATACTACCAGCCGGGATTTAAGAGAGGCCGACTTCCATTCATGTAACTTTGTTAATCTGATGTTGGAGAAGATAATAAGAGCTGCAGAACTGAAGTGCTCTGGAACGACTTACTAAAAGAGCGTTCAATTTCTGGCTTATGCCGATGACATCGACATCATCGGTAACAAAACCGGGAAGTCTATTCGGCCTTTCCAAGTAGAAAAGCGAATGGGTCTGGTGGTAAACGAGGACAAGACGAATTATCTCCGGTCAACAAACAAACAGTCAGCACACCCACGCCTTCGCACCCACGTTACTGTTGACAATTATAATTTCGATAAAGTAGAGAATTCGTTTGCTTGGGAACCAGCATTAACACCGATAATAATGTCGGCATTGAAATCCAACGCAGAATCACTCTTGCCAACAAATACTACTTGGGCTGAGTAGGCAATTCAGGAGTAAAGTGCTCTCTCGACGTACGAAAACCACACTCGTATAAGTCACTCATCATGCCCATAGTGGTATGTGGCGCAGAACCATGGACAGTGACAACATCCGATGAGGCGGCTCTTGGATTGTTCCAGAGAAGGACTCTGCCGAGGATTTA